CTCCAGCCGCAGAGCCACCGGCGTGGTGTCCCTGGCCCCGAACAGAGCCTTCCCAGAGCGGAAGAGGGCAAAGCCCGATCTCCCAGGCCTCACCCACCGTGGGTCTCCGTCACTCTCTTTTCCTTGTTTGGCCCCCTTGCACCTGGTGCACACTGTCTGTTTGTTCCCTCATTCACTGAAGAAAGATTTACTTAAGTATCCACCAACCAAGGGAGAACTTCTCAAGTTTGGAGAAAACATACAAATATGGCGCAGGCAGCGGTTAGAGGTCATACACTGGATGTCTGTGGGTCAGTCAGCCTGCAGATATGTTTTATTTATCACAATATTTAAGGTTTTTTTTTTTTTAAACTTAGTTCGCAGTAGTTGAAAATTGGGCTGTTCTCCATAAAACCCGGGTGCCTGGATTTGGGGGCCTGGCCTGCATGTCCACATCATTGCCTTGGCCATGAGGAGGGCTGGGGAGAGTGTGAGGCCTGGGGCAGAGGCCAAGACAAAGCAGCCTCCATCCTTGCCAGTCTCTCTTGCTGAGGTGTTGAATTTCTGATAGCTACTTGGAGCCTTAAGAAGATTTTAATCTGAGGTCACAAGATCAGCTTTGCACCTGGGAGGCAGGTTGAGCGTTCCTTTGGAAGGATAAGTCTGGAGGCAGGGAGAACTCTAGGAGGCTGTTGCCGTACACCGAAGAGGGTGTGCTGAGACGCTTAACAAAGGCACTAGTGCAGGTTCCCAGAGGAGCAGACTAACTGGGAACCCATGCAGGAGCGGAAGTGAGTGCTGACAGAGCAGGAGTGGTGCCCAGAGCAGGAGCCGCCGGCCCCTGGAGTGCCAGTGCGGCTGCTCCTGCAGGTGGGTAGGGCTTTGCTGGCCTGTGACTTCCCTGAAGGGCTGTGCAGTTCGTTTGCATTTGTGCGTTTTTCTGGGTTGAGAGGCCGACATCAGGGTTCCTGGTTGTCAGCAACAGGATCCAAGTGTGAGTGTTTTAGGTAGAATAATAGGTCAGCGGACCAGGAGGGCTGGAGAACCTGATTCAGGCTGCTCTGCCAGGAGCACGTCCTAGAACTTCTGGTGAGAGCATTTCTGGGGCCGCCCCAGGACCGGCTGCTGCTGCCAGTGGTCCCTGCGTGTTCCTTCAGCCCTGCTTCACCTGCTGCAAAAGAGGGCGCTCTGGGCGGTCTCTGGAGCCCAGGCTGAAGCAGCCGTGGAGACTTCGGGCCCGCGTCCCGTCCTGCCGGAGCCAACAGGCCAGTAAGGTCGGGGATCTGGTGACTGCTGTTTGTGTGGTACTGGCTGGGCTCTGTTTCCCACCATGACTCCACAGAGGGGCATGGGGACCCCGAAACACAGGAAATGGCTTCAGAGGCTAGGAAACCAACAGAATAATGGTCAGCTACAAGGTTTATAATTCTTGAGCATACCCAAGGGATGAGGGACCCCAAGCACTGAGGATCTCCTCCCTGCTCACAGAGGATATTGGGGGCAGTGAAAGAGGATGTTGGGGAAATAGAGGTTGTCTGGCTTGGCTGGAGATGGAAGAAGAGGGGGAGGCCCTCTAGAGGTAGGAAGCCATGCTGAGATTCTCCATTCATTTTCTGTTTCAGCCTTCTTTTGTTTAGGAAGGGGTTTGCCACCAAACACTTTGGTTTAGAAAATGACCCAATGAGAATATGACTTTAGAGAATTAACTTGATAGACCCAGAGTTGAGTTCAGCGGCTGGGGTGCTGGCCCCCGTGTGCACTGAGCTTCTGGACGGGGGTCCTTGGCCCCACAGCCGAGGGGCAGAGACTGTGATGGGAGCGGAGCGGAGGGGTGCCCTGCAGGGAGTGGGCTCCGCGGTTTCATTCTGGGCGACACCACCAGGGGACAGGAGGCACTGATCGTGCGGGTCTGTTTCAGGTAGTGGAGCAGGGAGTGGAAGCCTCACTGGGGGTGAGTCCCGGAGGGTGGATTTAGGAATCATGAAGTCATGGTTCTGGAGTAGTAGAGGGCAGAGCTGAGCTAATCTCGTGCCCTTGCTTTATTTAAAAGTAATGTAAGATGTATCTGTTTATGTTTAGAAGAGATGGTAGAAGTGTAAAGAAGGAACACAAAATGGGCCGTAATCTTTTCCCCAAATAACCTCTTTGACTTTCTAGCAAAGCTAAACTGAGGTCATGCATGTGCACAGTACGGAGAAGTGCAGAGACGCAGAGTGGGGTGCTCGCCAGATCTCCCAGCCCCCGTGTCCCCTTCAAGGGTGAGCACAGTCAGGAAGGCATTCCTTTATTTTGACCAGGATATTTCCAAGATACAGTGAATAAAACACACGAAAACATCTGCTTCTGTCTAACAGCTCCCCACACCTGAGCATCGTAGTGGCACTTAACCTGGAGCCCTGGACACTGGCAGCGGCTGCCCGTCTTTTGTGCACCTGCCACCTCCACCTCCTTCACAGTCTCGCCAGGAGATACTGGTGTCTTTCTAGGGCCTGGCTTCCCCTGCCTGTCCTTCCCTGTCTCCCGGCCCGCTTCTCTTGGCTGCCAGGTTCCCTGAGTGTCACTGCCTCCTGGAAGTCCTCGGGGACCCCAGAGTGGTTAAGGCACCTCCCCATTCCCTGGGCGAGGGAGGTAGGACGTCGGCAGGGCCGTGTCTCTCGGTCGCACCTGTGTCCTGAGTGCCCAGGAGGTGCCTGTGTGTGACAGGGACTCAGTAAACCATTCAGCCACTGTAATATATTCTGTGCCTTTGGGGAAGCAGACACGCTCTGTGACAATGTTGTAGTCCATTGGAACTGTCGACTATATGAATTGGAAGGCCTTTGTGGTCAGTGTTAATTTTGCCACATTACAAATGGCAGGGAAGATTTTATTCCAGACCATTGCAAGTGAGAGATGGAACTCCACTCCCAGTACAACAGGAGCAGGTCAGGGAGTGGGTGGAAAGTCACTGACAGAACTTGATTAGATGCCAAGTGTGGAGGAGGAGGAGGTGGACTGATACCGAGAGAGGGTGGATGCTTGACCGCTGGCTCGGCGGGATTCTTCGCTGAATCTGGCAAGCCAAGGACAGGCCTGGTGGGGAAGGCTCGAAGTTCGGTCGGGGAGGAAGTCCTTGTCCCCATCAGCCGAAAGAGCTGAGTGGTGATTTTGCCCTGGAGCACCTAATGTCGCGTCCTATCAAGATAGGAGAGGCCTTGGAGACCAGGAGGCACCGCAGGACAGAGCTCTGCAGGCAGGCGCTGCTGGAGGACAGCGGTCTGAGCTTCTCCGCGGGGGCTTGCATTGTTCTTACGTTTCAGAGCAGGAATGACGAACTGTCTCCTCCACCATTCCTCCCAAGAGAATCCCAAAGACTGGTTATGTCTCAAGAGAGACCTGTCCAGCGTTTCAGCTCCTTGGCGGTGGGTGCTGTTTTTTTCCCTCTGAGATACTGTTTCGCGTTTCCTAGGTCCACTCTAACCCTCGCCGCCAGTGCTGTGACTTCAGACGCGGATGTGACTGACCTCTCAGTGCCCTGGGGCCCTCTCAGAGCTAATTGTGCCTCTGGTATCGAGTCAGCCTGGGTGGTCACACATCCCCATGCCCAGGTCACTTCTGGACTTTGCTGATTGTCCTGGAGTGATTATTAATAGTCCTTCTTTTCACTCTCACAAGTGTCCCAGTTTGGTCGACCAGTTTTACGCCCCTCACACGGAGGCTGACCCTGGACCCAGGACTGCTGTGCCCCAGGAGACCCCCTGCAGAGACTTGCACACGTGCCATCAGTTTTTAGCAGGCAGTTGGTTGTCAGGAAGATGCTCAAAGGAGTCCACGCACGTGAAGGACATTACTACCTGCTGCTTTCAGCTTTCTTAGCAGAAGTGGGCACCACTGGGGAGCGAGACGCAGGTGGGGCCGAGGGGGTGTCCCCAGGGCACTGGGGGCTGCAGTGACGTGTCACCAGGCTCAGTATGCCATATGCACTGGCAGTCACCTCAGGCGGGTGGCTTCCAAAGCAGTGTCCATATTTGGATTTCAATTTCCATACAAAATATCGGCAGGATAAGAATCAGCTTTGTATTTTGCAAAGTCAGGGTGCTTGTGAAAGTCACAGGCCCCTGCTCTCATCTCAGATGTGCGGAATCATTTCATATGGGGCCTGGGGCTGGGGGGTTGTCCAGAAATCTGAATTTTTAACAGATTCTGGTGATTCTAATGCATAATCTGGTTTGAGAACCATGCTTCAGACGAAGTAGATGTTTTGGAGCAAATAGATATTCTTATTAACTTGAACAGTTGGTTCCTTCATTCAGCAGCTCTTGACTGAGTGGTAATCACAGGCCAAGCCCTGGGCCAGGAGTGGGGTCTCCAGCCTGGCAGAGGGGACAGGCCCCCCACCTGGTAATGCCCGTGACAACATTGCTGTGAGGGGAGCACAGAGGACGGTGGGGGCTGAAGTGGGGGCTCAGGACAGGCCTCCCCAGGGTGTGAGTCAGAGCTGGGCCCCGGGGATGGGGAGCCCAGGGTGGGGCTGCCTGGCTGTCAGCAGTGTGCGCAGAGGCCTCAGTGGCAGAAGTGGGGATGTGGAGGGTGCAGTGGGAAGAGGAGCAGTTGGGGGGATAGGCAGGCAGGAGGGGCAGAGGCACTTGGTTTGGGGGCTGGACTCAGAATGAGCACTTCGAAAAAGATGTAAAAAATATGTAAATAAATAGAATGAGCACTTCGGGGCTGGAGGTGAGGGAGGCCGTGTGGTGTCCGTGGAGGCTGGTGGGGACCCTGGTCTCTTACGTTGTGTGAGCTGATGGCACCAACAGGCAGCCACCCACGGACTACCTGAGCAGCTTCCTAGTGGCCGCGGGCAGGCGAACCCTGGAGACAAGGGTGCCTTGGCAGCCAAGCTGTCCGTCTGGGGAGGTGCAGGCAGGGGGAGTGCTGTGCGCAGGCCGGGGCTGTGCTCCCACCGCTGGTGTGGGCCCGCCTCTGTGCCAGATGCCATCAGCCTCAGGTCTATAACACGCGCGTCTGGTCTGTGTCTCCCCTAGATCCTGCCTGGCCTGTATATCGGCAACTTCAAAGGTAAGTTCTCTTCGTTTATTATTGCGGTGAGATACACAAACTATAAAATATGCCATTTTAGCCATTTTTCATCGTGCAGGTCGGTGGCATTACGTACATTCACACTACTGTGCAGCCATCACTGCTGTCCGTCTGCAGAACTCCTTCACTTTTCCTACCTGAATCCCTGTCTCTACTGGACACTAACTCCCCAGCCCCTGGAAACCACCACCCTGCTTTCTGTCTGAGAGTCTGACTGCCCTAGGGGCCTTGTGTGAGCATTAGTCCTTCTGTGACTGGCTTATTTCACTGAGCACTATGTCCTCAGAGTTCACCCATGTTGTAGCAGGTGTCGGGACTTCCTTCCTCTTGAAGGCGGAGTGATATTCCACTGTGTGGATAGACCGCATTGTGTTTGTCCATCATCTGTGGACGGGCTCGTGGGTGGCTTCCGCCAGTGGTGGTCTCATTTTTTACAGACCAGTTTGAGGCTCTCATACACGGTGAGTCGAGGTGTAGGTTCAGCTCATGTGAAGTGAGGCCACCGCTTATGCCCGGCCCCTTTCTGTGGCCTCGCCCTCGGGCCCCCACCCTTGGCCAGTGGCTGGCTGAGTGGTGTGGAGCCCCACAGGTTCCACCTTGACCGCTGACCTCCATTTTAACTATGCATGTTTGCTGGAGCTTTATTATCAAAAGAAGATGCTAAAAGGCACATTTGGCAGCCATGTAACTTGTTTAACATCTTTTATCACTTTTGTTTTCTAGTTATTAATACATTTCAGAACCTACTTTTTGAGCACCTGGGGAAAGCAAGTGGCAGCCTCGTCTCTAGCAGATTATTCTTAGCCTGTGTTCCTTTTCCTCTTACGCGTTTCCCTGCAGCTTGTTCGCTATTTGTTGATATGCTGTCAGCTGTTGACTTTATTTTCAGCTCATTTGTCTCAAAAGAATCTAGTTGCAGAAGGGAGCAGAAACCCACGGAGCAGAGTGCAGGTTGCAGGGCGGGGCTGGTCCCGGCAGGAGGTGTCTTGAGTGCGACTCAGAGCCCGCTTCCCTTGTGCTTTGCCCGCGGACGGGGCCCAGGACACGTGCAGAAGCTCGTCTGCCGTGCGGGTCGGAGAGGCCCGACGCGTCACAACGCCTCCCTCGCCAGACAAGCCAGGACGCCTCCTGTTTGTCTTCTGGTTGTTGCCTAAGCTTGTGAGTTCAGGTTCACATTAACTGTTAAGACAATCTTTATGGCTTCTCTGCGTGACATGCATTTTCTCTTCTTCCCCTTGGGCTCCGGGGGCAGCTAGTCGGCTTCAAAGAGAATTCAGCACAGTGAGCTGCCAGCTGCCACTTGCTGCTAGAGCGTGTTAAAAATAGTCCTGGAGTTCCTAAATTAGTGAGCTTCGTAGTTCTGAAAAGGCAGCAAGTGCTTTCGGTAGGCAGGCGAATTGTGCTGGAACCATTAATACCTTTACGGTGGTTCAGTGAGTTATTAGCAGCTTTCCTGAGGAGAGGGGAATGTCTTCATGTTTGAGAACAAACAGGATTTAGGACGAATTCTTGAAAGTAGCATTGCTAGGTGAATGATTTGACAGACCACAAATTGGGATGAGTACCGATCAAATCCAGTACTTCTGCCAGCAGTTTCGAAGAAGTTTACCTTTACCCACAGAAGGTCGCTTTCTTCTAGAAGGACGCGCACGTGACTCCAAGGGAGACCGAAGGCTCTTTGTGCTAAAATCTGTGCCTGTTTTCTAAATGTGTGCACAGTGGGATAGCAGCCCCCAGTTCCTGGGCCCCCGCCACGCAGGCCACCCGGGGTGAGCCCCGCCCACAGCCACGCAGGCCGCTCCTGGTTCTGACAGCTGATATCTAGTTGTTGGCCTCAGTTTTTCTGACACTAGTATGTGGTCATGTTTTACTCACTCGTTAATTCACCAAACATGTATTAAACACGAGGTGCAAGGTTTTCTAAAACAAGAACGACAGTGCAGTGCATAGACAAGCTGGAAGGAGGCCTTGTGTGTGTGCAGATGCCTGTGAGTTAACTCACTCACCCCACAACGTGCTGAAAGTGCCTGATGCGTGGGGCCCTTTGCGGGGAGTCTGATGTGCATGTGCATCCTGGTCCTCTTGTGATTCAGGGTCCGAGGATCGGGTCCTGCAGATGGAGAGAAGCCAAGGGGCAGGCCCACCTTGGAATCCAGTCACCCTGCAGCCCATGAGCCAGATGGTGACACAGCCTGGACGTGAGAGGCCAGCCCACATGAGGCTGACACACCAGCTTGTGCCTGGTACTCGATGGGTCCGCCAGCATCAGGCCCTCCTCGCCTCCCCCCCCCCCGGGAAATGGGAACCATGTACCTACTTTGGGCTGTTGTGAGAAGGGGACAGATGTGTGGCAGGCACTGGTCAGCCTCAGTCAGCAAACGTGGGAGCCCGAGGTAAGAGGGTGCTGACTTCTGGAAAGTGGGGAGGAAAGTGTGCTTCCACAATGTCTCATTTAGTCATTTTCTTCTCTTCTTAAACTACAAAGAATACATGCTTATTGTAACACAGCAACCAATATAGACATATACAAAGGAAAATTAATGAAAAATCGTTTGGCATTTCTGAGCGATCTTTGATTTTCACACAGTGGACTGGCACTGCGCCACAGCCCATGGTCTCCTGCCCCGTCTCCTCCCTCCTGCCTCCCTCCCCCCATCCTTTCTTCCTTCCTTCTGCCTTCCCTGCCTTCTTCCTTCCAAGGCGATGCTTTACATGTCGCTTTGCAACTTCCTTTTTTCCTTTTTAACTTTGCAGTGAATCACAAACGGTCTCCCAACACCTGGTGATCTCTCCACCTAGAGAAAAACCCACAGACAAACCCAGATTCTGGAGCCCAGTCTTTGACAAGAGCCCCTCAGCTGAGGTGCCTGCAGCTGCCTCTGCCCAGGCGCCAGGAGGGGAGGTGGGAGTGGAAGGGCAGCTCTTTCCGGGGAGGGGGTGGGGTGGCCGCTTCCTCACACACTGCAGGAGTGGATGTGCACTTACGTCGTTCTCTGTCTGACTAATTTCACTGAGCCTAATGCCCTCCAGGTCCATCCACATTGTTGCAAATGGCAGAATTTCCTTCTTTTTTGTGGCTGATTCAGTGTGTGTGTGTGTGTGTGTGTGTGTCCCACATCTTCATCTGTCCATGTTGATGGACACTCGGGTTGCTTCCATACCTTGGCTACTGCAAATGATGCTGCTATGTTATCATTTATATGTGAAATCTAAAAAAATAAAACAGACTAGTGAATACAATGAAAAAGAAACAGACTGACCAATATAGAGAACAAAATAGCAGTTACCAGTGGGAAGAGAGAAGGGAGGAGGGACAAGACAGGGGTGTGGGACTGAGAGACACAACTGCTGTGTGTCACGTGAATAAGCAGCGAGGCCTTACTGTGCAGCACGGGGGATGCAGCCACTATTCTGTAATAACTCTAAGGAGAGTATAGTCTGTAAAAACACTGAATCGCCATGCTGCACACCTGAAACTAATACAACACTGTAAATCAACCACACTTCAATTTTATAAAGTGGGTGTGAGCTGACAGAGGGAGCCCTTGTGTTTGAGGATGTCCGCGGAATCCCAAAGAGGGAAAGCCGGCTCGGGCGCTGTGTGTGCGGTGATGCACGTGTGCACACGCTTGAGGCCTCAGAGCTTTTGTCCTGTGTCTGCCCCGAGACTGGCCGTGGTTCCCAGTTGCACAGGCAAGGCCAGGGTGGTGAGTGTAGTGTGCCTATGGTGGCCTGTGCCAGCTCAGCCTCGGAGAGCCGGCAGGGCTGCGAGCAGCGGTTCAGATGTCTTTGAAGTCAGTGTGCGTTTGGAAGCATTCCGAGTTATTGGAGACTGAGGCCCGTACCTCAGCCGTGGGCCTGAATCTGGTCCAGATGGTGTTAGGAGTGATGGCGGTAACAATAACACACACTACGAGCCAGCCAGGCGCTGTTCAAAGCAATTTTTATCATTTAGTACTTCCAGCAACACTCCGAGGTGACGATCTGACCGTTCTCCCACTTTGCAGATGAGAACGGTGAGGCACAGAAACACTTGCTCAAGGGCAGCACCAAAAATGGAGGGAACAGGCAGGAACTGCCCCATTTTGGCCCTCACCCCAGGTTGGAAATGTGTCTACTGAAAGGTTGAACCCACTAGCGGCAAGTTTATAACTCTAGAAGTTACTGTAATGAATAATAATCTGTGAGTCTGGAAGCCGCTGAATTAACTTTGCAGTGGGAAGTGTCACTACAAAACAGACTGGAATCTCCTGCTCGTCGCTCGGCGGATCTCAGCTTGGGAGTGAAAGTTGTTCAAAAGTGACTCAGAACAGTGCTGGGGGTCAATGGCCAGAGCAGAGGCAGTGGCTCCCTTTAAAACAGAGACCTTCCTCCCTCCTGTCCTCGTCCTGCACGGCTGTGCTCTAGAGGCCACGGATCAGAGTGTCTGAAGGCACCCCCTAGGGAGTTCTTTCCTGCCAAATACCTGTTTCTCTAGAGCGCTTGGTTGATGTTGCTGGTTTTCAGTACTTTCTGCAATATGTTTTTGTTCATTTTACTCAGAGACAGTCCTGCCTGACCTGCTAGACCAGCTTACTTTTCATGGCCACTCTGGCGTTTCCCGCATCTCACAGCTGGTCATCCCTTTCGTCTTCTGTGTTGGTGTAAGATCCTAAGGGAGCAGGTGGCTGTCGCTCTGCCCTCTGAGGACGGCTTCTTCCAGGAAGGCACCTGCTACTCAGGTGCCGGTCCTACCAGCAGTGGGTGGGACCTTCCTCTGAGCTGCACGGGGAGCGTGCCGCAGCACAGGAGAAGGGCCAGCTGGGTCGGTTTCTGTTTCAGCGCTCCTGCTGTGTGAAGGCGACGTTCGCTTCTTCAGAAGCCATGTGAGGGTAAGCAGGCTGGCATCAAGACTGGGCAGGAGTCCGGGGCCGGGAGAGATGCTGATGGACATAGGGAAGAACATGGTTGACTGTGTTTCGTGTGAATGCAATTTATGATGAGTTTTGTCAGCAGCATTTTCAAAATTTTGTTTTTCCTGATTATAAAACTCATGTGGGTTCATCAGTTAAAATAAAATAAAAATTAAAAAACCCAAACGTGATAGAAGTATGCTGAGAGAGTGTAAACTTCCCTGAAGCCCACACCTCGAGGTAACCGTGGTCAGTGTGTCTCCCTCCAGACTTTTTTCCACGTGAATTCCAAGCTAAATCTTCCCGTTCGTTTTATTAGTACTGACGTGTTGCATTTGTGATTGCAAGAGACTGGGAGTTGTGCTCTGGCCTAGAAATGGCACCAACCTGCTGCGTTGGGGCAGGGGCACTGTTGGCACCAGGTCAAAGGTCAGTCACCAGAGGCCCTCTGGGGCTCCGTGTGTGCAGTGTGCCCAGGCCTCCGGGGCTCTTATTCAAGTGCAGATTCTGATCGTGTGGGTTGCCTTGGGCCTGGCAGTCTGCCTTTCCAGCTCACTCCCACCCGGGGCCGTGCTGCTGCCTGGCAGACCCCAGTTTGAGCAACAAAGGACTAAGTTCTCCTGAGACTTCCGGGAGAGCTGGCACGAAACTCCAGGCTTATGCACATGCCTGTGGGCCAGCTGATGAGCCCACGGCCAGTTTTCCGGCAGCATTCACACTCGTTACCACGGTGCCCGTGGCTGCAGGCAGCCGTGCATCCATCACTTGTCAGCCTGAAGAATGAACGTCATCCTGCAGTAGCTCTAGCTGAGCACTTATGCACTTAAATGTGGGTGGGCAGAGCCTGCGCTTGTGGGAAAGAGTAACCCCAAAGTGCCGCATGTATGTGGACGGAGCTACAATGAAGTAGGAAGGAGGACCGAGCAGAAGCACCTCCAGGAGTCGCTTCTGTTTTCTTTGGAGCCCAGCAGCCAGTTTTCTCATTTGTGGCGTCAAGGACTGTTGTATTAAAAAACGGTTAATTTTATTCCCAAACCACGTTTTTGTTGTTGTTTATCTTAATCTGTGTTACAGAAGTATATTTATGGTATGATGAAAATATTGTAAAGTTAGGTTGTGGTGATGACTTTCGAAGACTTTTTTCCTGACTTCCAACGTGTTAGTTACATGCTTACTGCAGAGTATTTAGAGCAGTGATTCTTCGTTTCTGCTTGATCATCAAGGCCTATTAGAAGTGCAGACTCCCGAGCCTGCCGCAGACCTTGGGCCAAGTTGGAGCCCAGGAATCTGCCTCTTTAACAAGACCCCGGGCAGTCAGCACATGGGTGTGTTAAACGTCCATAACTGCTTGTGTTGAATACACACACACAAAGTATAAAGAAGAAACAGTTAAAAACATTTGTAATTCCATCTCAAGATTATCACTCTTTGGGCTAATTCCTCATAGCAGTTTTCCCCACTATGTGTGTTTATCTTCATTCGTTCTTACGAATTGAGTTTATATTGTATTTGTAGTTTGGTACCAGCTCCCCTGGCCCCATGCTTCATATTGTATCCTGAGCTTTTTCCATGTTGTTGATATTCTCCAGAAACATCGTAACTAATCACTGGCTTTTTCAGTCCGTTTTACTCTGTGTCATTTTAAAAAGCTTGTCCCAGGCCGGGACCGGGACAGAGGGGGAGTCTACCCCCTTGTTTTTTGCTAGACCCCTGTTTTGTAGGTTAGCAGAAGGGTTCTGGCTTGGCCTCCCAGTTCATTCAGTCTGTCTTCTACAGGTAGGAGCACTGGAAGGGAATGAAATTTTGGCGTCTCCTTAGCTGCAAATGCATATAATCCAACAGCCAACTGATACCTTACGGACTGTTTTGTTTGGAATTTCCGGACAATGGCATTTTTGGTTTTGCCATAAAGTGAAATTTAGACGTTAAAAGCCACGTCTGCATCTGGACCCATTCCCTGCTGTTTGACTTCAGGGTTGAATCATCTCTGGCTGGTTCCTATATCTTATATAGGAAGTTGTTTTTGTATTTAATTTCAGCCTAGATTAGTAATCATGAAGAAGTAATTTTAAAAACCATTTTAAACATCTTTCTTGTTACATGTTTCACATGAGAGACTAACTTAAGGGTCTGCAGCTTGACAAGTGCCAACTACAAAATGATTTCACAGCTGTGCTTCCTTTAAACAGCAACAATCGACTGTAATGTTTAGTCATCTGGATACATGACTACTTTGTATCAAAAGATGTGCCAGTCAGAAATAAACTTAGTTGTCTGCAGAATATGTAAAAGCAACAACCCTGAATTCCCTAGATCTAGATTATTCTGGTGTAGTCAGTTATGATGTTTTAAGAAAGAAATATGCAAGTCATTTTGTGTCTTTTTCTGGCTATAACCTTTAGGAGTAATTCCCTTGCAGAATATATTAAAATGACCTCTTCTTTCTTCTGTGACAGATGCCAGAGATGCAGAGCAGCTGAGCAGAAACAAGGTGACACACATTTTGTCTGTGCACGACAGCGCCAGGCCGATGTTGGAGGTGAGGGAGGGCGGCTGCACGTGTCTGCACTTGTGTTCCTGGGTGTGTTTGGCGTGAGTGAAGCCGCTGTGCCCCGCTAACGCCAGTGTGCTCCCATACTGCTGGCTCTGTGCGTGCCTTTGCCTGGTCCACGGCTCGGCGGAAGGGCGCCTTCCTGTTCTGACTGCTCCTGTTGTGTTGCTCACTTGCTTTCCTGGCTAAATGCCAAAGGTGAGCTGGGGCCGTGTCTCCCTCTGGATTTTATGGCAACTTAAAACCCATTTTCATTCCTTTCAAAATTACCTTCTGTTTTAGAATCCAGAAGAAATCAGGCTGCACATTTCCTGACTTTCCCTCCCATTTAAGCTCAATTATCTGCAATTTGCATTTGGGAATAAAAGGCAATGGAGGGTCAGTTGTCCCTGGAGGTTTTCCAGGGTTGCTCTGGTACAGAGACTGTCAGTGCAGAAGCTTGTGTGTCTAGGGTTTAAAGTAAACAGGGTGTGCCTGCCCGTTCACTGATTCCAAGCACATCTGCAGTTTTACCCTAATGGACGATTTGAGCTGTTGGCTGGGAGCAAAACCTGTGACTCTGTTTATTAGCCTTGACAGACCCCAAGTTACCTCTTTTTAGAAAATCATGTGAGTGTGGTTGTGATGTGTGTGCTTTTCTGTTTTAGGGTGAGCTGTGTGAGACGGAGGGGTGGCTTGTTCTGAAAGTAATCATCCTAGTTCAAGCAGTTTTCAATTAAATTCATATTATACAAGAGTAGGTAATGTACTTTTATTTCAAATTTGTCTGTTTTACATGACCATTAGAGCTGCTGGATTTTAGCTAGTGTAAAGCGAGTGAGAACACAGGATAACAGTGATTCTACCGACATCAAACCGCAGAGGACCACGGGGGTGAGCAGACCCTACTCCTGCCTCCAGGTTTTTGAGCTTCTACTTTCCTCTATTGTTTCAGCTCATGATTTTTTGTTAAGGTTCTATAATTTGTGCTGCAGCATGATTTTGTTGAAAACAACAACAACAAAACATCATTTTTTGGGAGCCTAGCAGTTCCCTTGAAAATAGCTACTCCATTTTTCATCCATCAACAGTGGTTTGTATTTAACATGTAGCCGAGCTACGGCCTAGACCAGAAGTCAGACACAGACTGGTCGTGACTGACTTCCTCTTGAATCACAAGGTGAGGCTGGAGGTTCCTTTATTTTAGAGCACTGCATAGACGTCCTCCCACCCTCGCCCTCCGGGCTGCCTCACCACGTTACGCCCCATGCAGGGCAGCACCTGTCACATGGGAGCGTGGCCCTTACATATGTCCAGATACAGAACCTTCAGGTGTCAGGAATGACAGAGCCCCGGCTCTTGTCTGTCCCACCCCCCCTGTTTTACACGTGGGCAACGAGGTCTGGAGACTAAAACAGATGCGGTTGTGACCCAGTGTAAGGAGGTCACTGTTTGAGTAAAAACCTCAGGACTCTGGGTAAACTATGTCCCCCCATCAGTGACACGCCACATGTCCCTTTTTATTCCCCATGGGACTGCATTTACTTGGCGACAATCTGCTTCAGTCTTTGTGTGCTATTATTATCTTGCTTAATAATAAGTACTTTCCTGTGATCTCACATTTATTGAGGGTTAGACCACCGTTCTGTAGCATGACGTACCTTAACATTGCCCCTCATAATTTATTTTTAACTTTACAACTAATTCAGGAATATATTCTTACTTAAAAATTAAAACAGTAGGTTTTCTCTGATTACATGAGCGGAGGAAACTGAGGCACGAAAAGTTATGTGAACTGGCACGTTCACCGTAAGTGATCGGAGCAGAGGGAGCTCACCAGAGGCCCAGAAGCTCCGGACCTTTGTTGAGCCCTCTGCCTGCTGCGTAAAGGCAGGTGTCTCTCTTAAATTTCAAATTCAGTTCTAGAAGCCTTAATTTCAGTCAGCCCGAGATGACTCAGGGAAGTTATTTGTTTGGAGTTGGTAGGGAATTAATGGATGGATTTTATCTTTCAGCAGCTCCATGTTATGCTGGCCCTGGTCCTTGGAGGGAAATGGGGTTGGGATGAAGGTGAGAGGGTAGATCATGCACAGGGCTGAGCAGCCAGCCTGATGAGGGGCCCCTCGTGAAGGGTGGGGGGCTAAGGGATGGGAGAGGAGAGAGCTGGGACCTCCTTCCCTCTCTGAGGTCTTCGAAGCCATGCGCATTTATCGAATGGCCCCTCGCTTTATCCGGGCAGCCCGGGGCTGGGCGGGGCTGGGCTGGAAGTGGGGAGGCAGTGACTGCCTCAGACTGAAAGGATTCAGTCCCGTCACATCCGCGTGGGAGTTCTGTGGGCCCTGCTGCTGTGCAAGACAGCACAGGTTCTTCTTCGGTGGACGAGACAAGGTCTGTTTGTCCTCGGAACCCTGGGGCAAGGTGTCGGTGGAGGGAAACAGGCCCAAGCCTCCAACTGCTGTCTCTTCAGAAGAGCATCTGAGGGTTAGATCTTCCAGAATAGAGTCTTACGGACTGCAGAAACATAGGAGGCTTCGTACTCACCGAGTCAGCCCTAAACTAGCACCTGAGATCCCGAGGAGCTCTGGCCCCGTTTCCACGCCTGCTGCTCTTTGTTTGACGTAGAAATCCCAGCTGCACGGCGTCCTGGAGTTCACCCGCCTACCCCCTTCACTGTGTGGCCAGGAAGCTGAACCTCAGAGACGTGAGGGGATTCCCATGATCCCACAGCTGGTTTTGATGGAAACCTAGATCTCCCTTCAAGGCAGAGATTTTCCCAGCATGCTTCACTGCCTTGGTCCTTTCCTCGCATGACTGATGCTTCTGATTTGGTAGCAGGATCGGTAGATGTTGGCACATCCACTTTGGAAAGGTGCTGTTTGTATCTGACAGTGTATCAAAATCCCTGCCTCCCTGTGCCATCATCAGCATGGGTCTTGCTCATCTTTACTTTTAATTAGCAATGCTTTTATTTTGATTTATTTGCTGTGAATGCCTTCCTTGCACCATCAAGCCCCCTGTCCAGACAGCTCTCCCGTCTGAAGGCAGGGAGTTGATCATTCACTCATTTTTGAGCTCCTCCCACAGGCCAGGCCCTGGGACAGGTGCTGGCCGTAAAGTGAATGCATCCCTGTGTCTGCCAGGAAGAAGCCGTCAGTGTGTAAACAAGATACCTATTCTGGCTATTTTGTACATGTTGATAGTAATTATAGTCCAGTGGGAGAAGGGCTCAGGCTCAGGGCAGGAATCACTCAGGGAATAGGGCTTCCTCCTCTGCCAGGTGGGTCTGGACAGTCTGCAGTGCCAGGTCTGTGGAGGTAACTGGGAATTTGGAAAATCTGATTGGAGCCGTTCCAGCCAGAAGGAGGTGGCAGAGGACCAAGACCTGACTTTTAGGGGGGCCCCGACTCCACGGGGTCACACCAGCCCCACGTGACCCCAGGAACCCTGGGGGCCCGGCCAGCTAGGCGGCACAGCCAGACCCGGAGGTTCCCTTACGTCACCTGCTAGCAAGTGGCAGAGCCTGGGGGAGAAACCTTTGCACACGCATGCATTTCAAATAGGAATTTAGCCCAAATCTGTAATTACAACATTTGGGGGGGGAAAGCTCCTCCCTCTGATGCCACGGTGAGGACTGGGCGGGGGACATCACATGAGTCTGCTGAAGGTGTTCCCCATTTGTGATCTGTGTCTTCGGCGCCGACTGGTTGCTCCAGACTTGAGCCGTGGTGAAAACTCCTGTCACAAAGGTGGTGCTTTTTCAAATCAGAAACCCTGTGTTGTTTGTAGTCATATTGAGCAACGAAAGGTTTCTCCCTTCCCCTGAAGAAATAAACAGAACTCTACCTTCCTGATGTAAAAATTTCAGAGTTTGTTTCATTTTTCACGTGTTCCGTTGTTGGGCATTTAACAAGAGTACCTGCAAGAAACAAACCTGTTTCACTATTAACAAAAATGCTTTAAAAAGTATTCCCATTCCTTCACTGGGCCAGCCACACAGGGATTTGACTTTTAAGTGATTTAGAAGAAGAAAAGAGTTGACACACATACACTCGGGGCAGAGTGTCGTGTGTGTGCAGGCAGGTGTCTGAGCTCGAGTCTGGCTTGGGTCTTCTCCCCATTTTAAGCTGTGACTTTCACATTAGAACTTTTTAAGCTTTTGCTTTTATTTTTAAGAAAAGGATGTTTTCATCAGTCATTATTTATTCTGCTGATTCAGTTTCTATTTTCTTAAACACTGAAGGTCTTTTTTAAGGCATCCAGGCTCCAAGTTCAGTTTTGTTAGTTTTATGTGTCGGTGTCTGCTGCTCCTGGTGCTGGTTCTCACTGTTGTCTGTGTGTCTGCACAGACAGACATGCCGGTGAATACCCCAGGACAGGTCCGGTCTGCTGAGACCGAGGGGCTCCTGGAAGGACCTCGGTCCACTGCCGCGTGTCTGTCTGGTCACCCACCCCATTTCTCACCCTCAGAAGTTCTGTTGGCTTCCCAGGTGTCAGAGAAGCCAAACCCAAAGGGTGAAACTGTGCTCCTCTGTCCGCTTCTTTCTTCCTCCCTCCTCTTGCCCACCCAGGTCCAGCCTCCTTCAAAGCTCAGCCCAGCTCTTCTTCTGACAAGGACACTTGCTGTACCCACCAACCTCAGGACTCCTTCCCTTTTTCTGTAACATGTGGTTTGTGCTCTTTGTTGGGTCGTGAATTGCGTGTGCTCTGTGACAGACTGTGGGGGGTCATCCAGTGGGCTTGTGACCTCTGCTCGATGGTCTGCAGCCTCACTGCCTCTGTCCAGGCTCCTGAGCTGGTCTCAGGCCACGGCAGGCAGGCACCACTTTGGAGCTCTTTGGTGTCTCCAGCGCTCAGCCTGGGTCTGATTCTCGGGGCCCCTCTGGGAGCCTGCTGTTGAACCCGTGGCCCAGAACATTTCCGCTCCACTCCCAACTGGAAGTCATGTCCTGGGTCACTTGTGGCTCCCTTCATGGCATGAAAGAAAAGCAGCGTCAAGAGCGATGTACTGA